GGATGACCTCCATTTTAAGGGCCACACCTTTTTGAATTATAAGAAGTATATTTAATACTCAGCTTTTCTCTTTGTGTTAGTTCATTTGCATTACTATAAAGAAATACCTGAGGCTGGGTAATGTATAAAGAAAAGAGGTTTATTTGGCTCACAGCTCTGCAGACTGTGCAAGAAGCATGACGCCAGCATCTGCTTCTGCTGAGGGTTTCAGGGAGCTTTCGATCAAGGTGGAAGGTGAAGCAGGAGCAGGTGTGTCACATGGCAAAAGCAGGAGCAAGAGAGGGAGCAGGAGGTGCCAGGCTCTTTCAAACAACCAGCTCTCCTGAGCTATAAAGCAAGAACTCATTCATTATCATGGGGAGGGCACCAAACTATTCATGAGGGATCCGCCCTCATGACCCAAATGCCTCTCACCAAGCTCCACATTTCCAACTGGGGATCAGGTTTCAACATGAGATTTGGAGGGACATAGCACTCTTATTACCCCATGAATTGCAATTATTATTGTTTGATGAAATGTTGTCTCCATTTTGAGAGTCCTATGCAGGATATATAATATGCAGGACCTCTGTTTCTATGATGCTTATCAAGACAGAGCTTTTAATTCTAATACTTCAAGCAGCAGACATTCATCAAAGGTTGTCTTAATCAGAATTCCTAATGCCTGTACCTTTAAGTCCTTCATTATGTTTGAGGGTTTGGTGAATATCACTGAAACCATTTTGTTTCTCCAAGATCGTCTTTGTGTATCACTTGTATCCATGATACATGTGAGATGCTTGCCTTTATTATTTTGAATTATTGGGGTATTGCTCTTCAGAAGCTGAAAGGGAATAAAAACTGATGAGAATCAGATGGAGGATACTCTATCATTAATTTTGGTTTGCCCGAATTCTCTGTTAAATAAAAGCCATCTATAAACACTGAGCTGGTACCCAGTTAAGTATCAAGCAAAGAGAGACATACTTTCTTATAGTTTCTCTAGTGTTAACTCTGTTTAACTTTATAGGTATAAATAGGAAAAAGAACCTATAGGCAGTTGTGTTTATAGTTATTTATCAACGCGGATAATTATCAGAGAAAGGGATTTAAAAATGTGTGGAAATATCCCCATACATCAGAGATAAAGTATGGATTCTTACAATTAAATTAATCAAATTAATCAAACTATATTTTAAAGAATTTATAAAAAGACAGAGGGGCTCAATTTCTCTCAAACGTTCTATAAATCAAAATATTTAAAACCAAATCACCATAGTTTTAATCGTAGCTGACGTTTACTGTGTGCTCGCTATATACCAGACACTGCGCGAGCTCATAACAAGGATTATCTTCAGTCCTCCTTCACTTTGTGAAGCGGCTACTATTTTTTCCCCCTTTTTGGATGGGGGTGCTAGCATAGGGGGTTTCAGAAATGTACTGAGTGTCACAGAGCTGGTAAGTACTAGAGCAGGAATTCTCACACTGGCCTGTGGGGCTTCAGGGTTTGCACTCTTACTGCATGATACTAATTTTCTCATATTTATTTCAGCCCACTATCCTATTTCTTTTCATTAATATTGTAAGAAGTAAGAATGAATTACATGTGCAGGTGAGGCAAATCATTGATTTATTTTCTCTTAATTTACCAATTCATTCATAATTAGATTTATTTCCTCTACTAAAATGTAACTTTTTCTTTGTATTTTCATATTTTATTGTTTTATTTCTCTGGATACCTTAACAGTCTCTCTCCCTGCCCCCCTCCTCTGTGAAGTCAAGAATTTTCTTTTTGGGGAAATAGTATCTGTTCTCATGCTATGATTGAATTTGTAAAGTGAGCAGAAAGAGTTCTTTTTAAAAATTATTTTTAATTGAAAATTTATTATTTTTCTTTAGTGTAATGATACTGAAAAATTACACTGTTAAGTCCTTTTAGTGACCTAACCATTATCACTATCATCCGGTTGCTAAGGAGATTGGGAAAGATAGAGTCTCTAAATTTCATCTCTAAACTATAATGCTGTGCTAAAAACAGCCCTGTCTGAAAAGGAAAACACATTCCTCTTTATTGTCTGTTAAGTCACTACAAGGAGTGGCGGTCATATAAGGCAAATAAGAATGTCTTACAGGGTGTGGATTCCTTACTGGCAGGAGACCTCCCTCCTCCTCTCTAAGCGAAGTAGGTCAGGAATTTGAAAACCTATTAGGCAGCTGCTTGTACAGTGAGTAAGTATGGAGTCAGATTGCCTGGGTTCAATTCCAGTTTTGTCATTAATGGCGGTGTGACTTGGGGTAAATTCCTTAATCTCTATGTACCTTAGTTTCCTCATCTATAAAATGGGACTGTAGTAGTACATCCCTTGTAGGATTATTGTGAGTGTTAAATGAGGTAATATATGTATAGTGTTTACATATATATATCTGTGTATATGTATATACATATGTATACCTGGTATATAGTTATTAAGTGCACAGTAAAGGTGGGCTGTTATCATTTATTATGCTGTCATTTGAGGGTTAATGCTCCTTCCCTGTGAGGCAATGAGAAAACTGCACAAGTCTGTGGCTCAAGAAAGGACTTGTTCAGGCTCAGGCTACTGGGCCACGGGAGACCTGGGGCTTGGCACACGTGTGAGAGTCTTGTGATTCCACCAGTACCCACCAGTGGCACTGTGGACCCTGGAACTCTCCCCACCCTCCTCTTCACGTGGGTCATCTTGTTAACAGATGAGGCTTTGCCAGTACATTCTTTATCAAATGTCCCCTTGGATTATCTGGCTCTGTATAACAACTGGGTGTTTATAAGCCCAGAAATATTTTCTTGAGTTGGTGGTCCGGGCCTTGCACTCTTGTGGGCATACTGTGCATTCTAGAGGCAAAAAAGAATAAAAAGGAATCAAGGACGTCGGTTGTGCCAGTAAGGACTTGCTGCACAGACAAGATGGGTGCACAGGAATGAACGCACGCACAGGAAACAAGCCGACTTGGCTGGTCCCTTAGGCTTCTGGAGAGGCAGCACGGGGTAATGGAAAGAAGATGGGCTTTGTAGTGTGGCAGAGTTTCAAATCCTGGCTCTACTGACCCAACTGCGTGACAGTGGATGAACTATCAAACCTCTCCAAGCCTGTTCCCTCGTGTGTACAATGGGGATACAGCGATCTGCTACACACATGTGTGAGGATTAAATGAGAGCCCGCCTGTGAAAGCCCCTAACAGCACTTGGCATGTGTAGTAAGCATGCAGCATGTGTCAGTGCCCTTTCTCTCTAGGGCTTCAGCTGTGCAGATCCTTTTGGAAGCACTTTGAGTGCAAGTTATATAAATGAAAATGAAATATCAGACGCTGGAAGGAGAGATCTGTGGGCTTACCTGGAGGACGTAGGGTGAAGGTCAGGCTTTGAGAGATGGCTAAGATTTGGAGGGGAAAGAAGAAAGCGGAGGTACCCTCAGGACAAGAAATAACTTGGCCAAGTGGTGTTCTCTGGGGGAGAGTAGAGCAGAAGGGCCATGCTCAGAGGAGACAATGGAACTCAGTCAGATCCAGTTCCTATCCTTGTGCTACTTATAAGCCATGTGACCTTCCTTGGGAAAATTGCTTTATGTCTCTCTAAGCCTCAGTTTCTTAAGAAAAGAATTGTATTTTTTTCATACAGTAAAATTGATGCTTTTTTAGTGTACAGTTCTATGAATTTTAACATGTGCATAGATTTGTAAAATCACTTTCATGATCAAGATATAGAATAGTTCCATCACCCCCCAAATTTCCCTCATGTTACCCCTTTAGAGGCACACCCTCCCCCGAGCCCTAACCACTAGTCTGTCCTCCATCACCATAGTTTTGTCTTTTTGAGAATGTCACATAAATGGAATCATACAGTATGTAACCTTTTGAGACTGGCTTCTCTCACTTAGAATAATGCCTTTGAGATCTATCCATGCAATTGTTTGTGTCAGTGGTTTGTTCTTTGTTATTGCTGAATGGATTCCATTACATGGGTATACCATAGTTTATCTAGTCACCCGTGAAGAACATTTGCATTGTTTCCAGTTTTTGTTCATTTCTCAGTTTTATCCTCTATAAAATAGAATGATGATGATAATTGTACCTACCTCACAGGGTTATAAAAACTAAATAGGATAGGGTGTGTGTGTGTGTATGTGTGTGTGTGTGTGTATATAATGTCTCAAATATTGTGTTATATATGGTACTGAACAAAAAATAGAAGTATTGATCAATGAAACAAAATGAGTTGGGAATTAGATCTAATGAACATAAATATTTGATATAAAATATAAAGCAAGTTTGAGAACCTCTATCCATCCCTCCCCCTAGGTAATCTCATTCAATTCCACCATACAGTGTTTATTAAATAGGGTAGCTAAGAGCATGGACACTGGAGCCAAAATCACAATTACCAGCTCTGCCATTGCCAGGTGGACAAGATACTTAAACTGCGTCTTATTTTACTCATCCGCAAAATGGAGATACTATTAAGATTTACCTTATGGGGTTGTGTTAGACTTAGATGAGTTAATATATACAAAATAAGGCCTGGGTGTGGAACATAATACATATTAATGTAAGTGTTTAGCTATTCTTATTCTTAATTGCATATATATTTTAGATAATGTATTTTTTTTTAAGAGATAGGCTCTTGCTCTGTTACCCAGGATGGAGGGCAGTGGCATCATCATATTAATAGCTCACTGCAGCCTCAAATTCCTGAGCTCAAGTGATCCTCCTGCCTCAGCTTCTTAAGTAACTGGGACTATAAGCGTGTACCACTATCCCTGGTTAATTTTTTTCAAGACGAGGTCTCGCTATGTTGCCCAGGCTGGTCTTGAACTCCTGGCCTCAAGCAATCCTCTTGCCTCTGCCTCTTGAATAGAATGTGTGTGGATTATGTCAACCACACAGAAGAGCGGTTAGGTTCTTGCATGATTTCAAGTTAGGATGAGATGGGCAAAGAACTATTTCCAGTAATTTTATTTGCTTCTTTTATGTTGTTTTATTTTTAGGGCATTGCTCCCAAAATAGAGTTTTCTACAAGGACGGCCATCAGAGAATGTGTGTTTCTGCATAGAAACAGATTTCTTGTAAGTATAATAAAAAAACTAGTGATAGAAATGACAGGAATTTTTTCCAAATTTAAAGAATTTTAGCCCAAACTCAGTTTACCAAGTTGAGGTGCAACTGAACAAATAGAAACCCAGAAAGTTTTCGCTAGGCTTGAATTTTTGCATTCCAACTATTTGCTCAGCCTGTCACATTAGAGTGAATATGTTTGGCACACATGTTTGGCAGCACAGTGTAGTTGGTAGAGTAGGGTGATTCAGAAGCTAAAATCACAAATTTGATGTAAGTAGGCTAGTTAGCTTTTGTGGTTGTTGCTGTTGTTCCATGACCTTTATGGATCTTAGGAACAATAGTGTTTCCTTCTTTCTTTTGCTGAGCCTGACAGAGTTGTATTTGTGGTCCACCTTTGGTAAGCATGAGGGGTCTTACCAAAGGGCACCCATGTGTGTGACTACCATTTTACTCTTTTCTTTAATTCTAATTTAATTCCCCCTTCACCTTGATTTCTTTCTATTTTGCTTTTATCTTATTGAGCATAATTTTGTAGCCACTTAAAATCCTTTCTAGAACAAGATGGGGAATGAATGAAGGCAGTTGGTAAGGCTTCTTTAAATACTTTGGGACAAGGAAGAGTAAAATGAATAAGTAAAACAAATGCTTAGCCCAAATCTCACCTGTGGTTCTAGAAAATGCCTTGAAAATGTGGGCTGTGGGTTAAGGGGTACTGAGTGAGAAAGGCCACTAACCTGTGCAAATCTATCAGTTTTTCTGACATAATAACTCATATAATGGGAGACTGGTGATTAACTTTAAGAAAGGCATTAGCTGCTTTTTAGCTTCTCCTTTTTCCTCTATTCTCTCCAATTTATTTGTGATGTGTTCATGGCGATTTTTCAGTCTTTCTTTCTCTTCCATTCTACCCTTTCAATCCTGTTTTAACTTCCTAATATAGGTCTTTCTTTAAGTGTTAACTTTTTAAACAAATAGCTTTTATTTTTTTATTATATCAAAAGCATCACTTTATAAAATTAGAAAATAAAGATAAGCAAAAAGGACAAAGTAAAAATAAAAATCATCTGTCATTCTTACCATTTAGAGGTGAGCATGACTAATTTTTTCAGTATATTCTATACACACACACATACACTTTTTAGATTGGGATCATACTGCACTACATATTATTTTGTACCCTTCTTTTTTCACTTAATATGTCATGAACATTTTCTCATGGCCTTAAGTATTATGCCAGACAGTTTTCATGGCTTCGTAGTATTCCATTGTATGGAAGTACTATAATTTGGACAGTCGTTTCCCTTTTGTTGAGCACTTAACTGATATACCAGTCAAAGTCCAGTCAGGAAACCAAACCAGACTTGTTATTTTAACAGAAAAATTTAATGTGAGAAAAAAAAAATATGGCCAAATAGGAGTTGGAGGACTGAAAGACAAAAGAGAAACATTGAAGTGGCAGAGTGACTGCAGGAGGCAGTGAGTTTCTACCCCTCTGGCTGGGTCATCAAGAACATAGAAGGTGAAAGAAGAGACCCCACAGAATGGGGCGCAGACCCTTGGAGAGGGATCGCCTTCCTGGGTGCTTCCTCAGGAGTTCAGAGGTAGGACTCTGGTGAGCTGGGACTTCGACCTCTAAGGAGGGGTACTACTCACTGCCGGTGCCACAGGAGTTTGTAGGAAGCTCAAAAATTCCTGTGAGGCTGGACTCAAATCTCTGAGCTGGGGGCTCAGAGAGAGCTGGTGCGAGTATGTATGAAGGAGTGCAGTGAAGCTAGTTCTTGCATTATGGGGGAAAAAACTATAGATTGGAATCATTTGCAGCTGCCAAGGTGAAGACTGGTTGCTGGGATGATGCTAATAAGAAAAGAGTGCAAAACCGGAAGTAGCCGGTCTCATCTTCTCCAGCCTTGCAGTCTCTTTAGCGCCCTCTAGTGGCAGAGCCTAATAGAAACCCAATAGAGAAGCAGAAAGAGGGTTTGTTTGCAAACCTGGCCCAGTATCATATAGCCGAGGTGGGTTTGCAGCTGAGAGACAATTGCTTACTCACCAGTACAGCTGGTTTCTAATTTTTAAACTAGTGTAAGAATTTCTGTAGCTATACACGTAGCCATAGTTATTTCCTTTTAACAAATTCCTTGAAGTGAAATTGCTGGGCCCAAGTATATGCCAAATTCTCTATCACCTATCTATGCCTGGGTGTTGTCTGACACTTTCTAACTTTCCCCTAATACAAATAAATCTCACTGTTATTAGTTGAAATATATTATACTAGCAAGTTACAAGTGCTATTGATGTTAAGCTGAACTGTAAAAAAACTAAGTAGAGAAATGTCCTTTCTTAAGTTTATATTTTGTAAATCTGAGATGTTCAGTCTTCTCCCTTAGGTTTTAAAAGTTCGATTAAATACGGTTATGTTTTGATTGAATTTTCTTCCTTTCTTTCATTTTTTTATTTTTAAAAAATATTCCTTCTTGTTTTGCTTTCAGGAAGAAAGATATAAGTCACGAAGGCCTTTATCTACATCACGTGGACCAAAATTCCCCTTAAATAATATAAAGATGAAGCCAAAGGAGAATAATCTCGACAGACTGCCCAAAGGCGTGCAATCCTGGGCACCCTCTCCCTGTTCCACCAGACGTTTCTTCCAGGACCAGCCAGCTCAGTTGAACCTTGGAAATCATTTCAAAATCTCTGGAGGAAGCAAGCCTCCATTTGTAGTTAGACATGTGAGCCTAAAATTGTATTTTGGAGTACTTTGGAATGGGAAGGATGTGGATGAGGGTGGAATAAAGGAAGGTTGAGCTATAAAAGTAAATGGGTAATATTAAATAAAGAGGGAATTCGAACTGGATAATATTAATAACTGTGATTAGATTGCATTCATTTCCTAGAGTCATTGTCAGGAAACTCTTCTTATATAGAGGACTTGTTAAGTGAATGTCAACAATCTCTATTTTAAATTTTTGTTATTTTTTTTATTTCAGAATATTATGGGATACACATGTTTTGGTTACATGATTTGCTTTTGTAACCTATTTTTAATTTTTGAAAATTATTAATATAATATGCCATCTACACATAATAACTCACCATTATCCAGAAAAGTCAGTGAACTGACAGGGGTTGAAGACACGTAACAAAGGCTGGCATGTCCTCTGTATTAACACAAAACTGTATCAACACAGTTTTTAATGAAAACTGCTTGAGTTTTCTTAATGAGATTGGTGCTCAGTGGCCATACTTTGAAGAGGAGGAAAAGTGTGTTTGCAGGAAGCAGCAGTGATGTGCCATACTCAAAGCCCTTTAATTAAAGTCATCTTAGATTTATCCCTCAGGAAGTAGTGGACAAATTTAATCACATTAGTTCACTACTATAAAAGTAATGGAAAATATAGACAATTTCAAGAAAAAACTACCTATTGGTTCACCAGCATAATAAAATCATTGTTTAATTTGATGTGTTTTCTCTGCCTTTTTAAATTTATAGGCTTTATTTTTTCCACAGAAATAATTATACTGCATATAGAGATTAATTTCCCTACATATTCCCTATATATATTTCCCTATGTATTCCAGTTAACATGACATTAAAAGCAGTTTCTGTATTATTTCATACTCTGTATGAATACCATTTTGTGTTCTAATTTATGACTTACTCTTCAAAATGTTTAACTATTGATAGTATCACTAAGTTGATATTTTGACTTAAAGTCACTAGTGGTGATGTTTGTGTATTAGACACAGGCGGTGAAATGTGGTAAGTCTCAAAGTCAAGATGCTGTTGAGATGGCTGTATATAAATAGTTGGTTTGTAGGTAGAATAGAGCTGTTGGCTAGAAACCACAGAATAGCTATCTATCTATAGATACTATCTATCTACAGATACAAAATTAAGAACAGCTGTTGTCCTCTTGGTGGCCTGGGTAAAGATATCTGGAAAAAATTGATTTTTCTTTTTTTGCCAATCTTTAAACATTGTGCTATAAAAATATTGTTGAATTGAATTTCATTTTATTGAAAATAAATCTGATTTGTTTCATTCAATATAAATTTTTGTCCATGCATTATTAACTAAATAACCTTAAAATCTTGGTAGATTTCTTAAGGAATTAAAACTTGCTTGATACTTATTTTATTTAACAAATTCTTATACAGCTTTTACTATGTGCCAAGATTTTTTTTTTTTTTTTGACCAGACTATGGAGGAACGCCAAGCTTTTTTATAAGTGATTTTATGTATTTAATTCTTTATTCAGCCAGATTTCCTGATGGTATGCGATGTTTCCTTAAGTAGAAGCATTACAATTTAGAGGACCTGATGTCGTAAAGACTATAAACTCAAGTCAATGTATATCTTGAAGTATAACATTATAACCTGCCTTATTGAAATAAAAAAAATAACAGAAATGAACAACAAGGTAAAAAAATATCCAGGAACTGTATGTTGTAGATATTCTGGAAAACTCCCTAATTCAAGTACTTTGAAATATTTGCAGATCATATTGCCCAATTTTTCTTTAGGAAAATAAGGTCAGTCACCTTAAGTAAAATAATGTAGTTATCATTATTCTTTTTTCAAGAACATAGACACTCAAATGGGAAGAGAGTATGGAAGGCTGAGATGTCACCTTGTGGCAGTTCCTGCTGTCAGGGAGGAGTCCACCTACACCGTCACTGCTTATACTGTTTAAGGGACATGAAATTCTGTCTTGTTCTTAAAGATCATGAAATAAAGCTTCACTTGCTCTTTCTGTGCTCTCTCCTTACCATGTTGTTAGAATATGATGTGTCCAACCTTGGTTCTTTATGCTAACATTTAGCCCGTATTCTGAGTTGGGGTCCCCGGGGAACCTGTGGCCTTGGGGCCACATGTGGCCTTCTGGATCCTTGAGTGTGGCCTTTTGACTGAATCCAGATTTTACTGAACAAATGCTTTTAATAAAGGGATTTGTTCTGTGAAGTTTGGATTCTGTCAAGGGGCCACACTTGGGGATCTGGAGGGCCACATGTGGCCTCGAGGCCGCAGGTTCCCCGCCAGGAGGGGAGCGTAATACAAGTTATGGTGGATTTAAGTCTTATTTCTTTCTTTCCTTTCAGGTGGACAGTGCAAAGCCCTTTGGTGAGAATATTTCGGAGCATCATTTGCGGAAGTCTAGAAGAAAATCTAAGTTTTCAAACTTTCCGTTTCCATTGAGAAGAGGTACTCGAATTTCTTTTTATTCTTGTACATTCCCCCATGGGAAAAAAATGTGTCCTACTTATCGTCTTTCATTCTGAGCAATCACAAGTTACTTTGGAAACTGTGGGCCTAGTTCTCAAGTACTCTCCAGCTGTGCAGTTTCCAGGGCGGTGGTCTCATGAAGCAGAGTCAGCGTGGAATCCGTCCGTTTGCGATTTCCCTTCGCTGTGGAAGGGGACTGTTCTGGGTAGTGTTGCTAACCAATGTGCTGTGGTCGTAGTTGTTCCTGGCTGGGCTGGAGAAGCAGAGAGCAGCTTGTCCTGATGTGAACTCCTTGCAAAGGCACCTTTAATAGCTGACAAATAAGACTTTCCATTTTTCTGGATGGGAAAGAGCAGGAGATTGATGGTGATCAGAAGATGTAATATTTGCTTTATAAGATTCCATGTCAGTGAGGCAGGGGAGCCAGCTCTATCTAAAGCAGTTAGTTAAGCCAGGATGTCTCAGACTTTTAGATTTCAGGACCCCTTTGCCTCCTTAAATATTATTGAGGACCCTAAAGAGCTTTCGTTGATGTGGATAATTTTTATCAATATTTAGCATGTTAGAAAGCAAAACTGAGAAATTTTTGAAATGTAAGAATACAGTAGCACACATTTAGCCATCCAGAATGGTGACGTCATGACATGTCATGGTAACTTTTGGAAAACTCCATTGTAAAATCGTGAGAAAATGAGAGTGAAAAAGGCAAATCATGTGTTAGTATTATTATGAGAATAGTTTTGACCTTGCAGATCTCCTGAAAGGTCTTAGGGACCTGGGGAGATCCTGGGCCACACGTGGAGAGTCACTGGGTTAAGGAATCCCTTAGAGGCTCTTATCTTAATGACTGAACTACATGAATCATGACAATAGTGAAGGTCAGGACGGTGAAGTCCAGTCATTCTTGAACTTCATCAAAATTCTTAAGCTAGAAGGGGATGGAGGTGGCCTACTCTTTTGCCTCCTGGTAGAATTGGACTTTTGCTGTTCCTGACAACAGAGTTCCCTATTTTAGGCTTCAAGGTTTAACTTTTAGGGGCTGCAGTGGTCTCTTGTGGTGGCTCAAGTCAGTGTTCTTAGATTGTAGTGACTATTTGATAGCAGCTGGCCAAGTACCGCGTACTGAGTACTGGGTTTGAAGCAGGAAATGCTTCATCACCTCTGACACTTAATTTAAGTTCTTTGAATTGAAAATCACCCGCATAGCCTAGAACAGCAGGACTGTCTTCCCCATTATGGTGGAATCAAGCAGCACCAAATGTCCTTTCCTGGGGAGGACAAGTTGGGCTTAATGCTGGCTCTGTTATGATGGAACTCATATATCACATTGGTCTCAGCCTTTGTCTTTTCTTAATCCTGGCAGGTGGAGAACTAAGGTTCCAGAAAGGTTACAGTGTGTGTACAGATCACACATCAAGTTTTTGGCCATACCTACACTTAGAGAAGACGTTCAGACCTCTGAGCTCAGATCCTTGGAATCCTTGTAGCTTTCAAGCCAGACCTTTGCTTAGGTCACCTGTCTGCTCATTCATCCAGGCCTAAGGTAGAATACAGCAGTGCTTCTCAAACCTGAATGTGCATTTGAATCACCTGGGGATCTTGTTAAGCTGCAGATTCTCATTCAGTAAGGCTGGGGTGGGATCTGGGATCCTTCTTTTCTAACAAGCTTCCAGGTGATACCGATGCTGCTGGTCCATGGACTGCACTTTGAGAAGCGAGGGAATGAAGGCAAGCCTCCTGCGAAAGGGAGTGCTCAAAACCAGTAGCCAGTAGTAGCAGGTTTGTAGCGATGGCTGCAAAGGACCTTAGTATTGCTGATTCCCTACCCAGCGGGGACAAGATGGCACACACATACATATGTGCCCAAAGGATATGAAAATGACCGGCTTTAAAAAGCCCTTTTTATATCTTCCTTCTTACGACCAGAGGCATGGGGGAATCAGCAGTACAGGAAACGTCCTTTGTCACTGCCTAAGCCCCAGCCACCCTGGGGGAAGCCAGGGTGGTCTTAGCCTAGCCTTACAAATACTCATTTCAAAAGCATTTTTTTTCAACTTGGAAAAATGCAATCTAGTCTAGGTTGTTCTCTATGTGTATTTATTACTTCATTGGCTAGTCATCCTTACCATTCTCTGGCATTAGGTCTGTGCTTATCATGATTACTTAGGGTAATCATAATTTCCATTTTTGTTGCATTATGTTTCTCCAAGCTCTTATGTATTCATTGTCTCAGTGTAACATTTGTGTCTGCCTTGAACAAATGCACTCAAGAGATCCTGCATAAATAGGATTTCATGGAAACCAAGGAGAATGGCAAAGAGGCAGAGTTTATCAATTTAATTTTGACCCACATTGCTTTCTTTTAGGCTCTGGGCACCTGGGCAAATGTGAGTTTTTAGGCTGTTAAGGGTTATTGAACTTATTGATTCACTTTAGACTTGCTTTTACCCTTTCCCTTTCCATATGTGCTGTCGTTAAAAATACAACCTCATTGTTGACCCCAAAAGGACAAAAACCCTCATAGATAGAATTGCTGCAGCTCAAGGGAGACTTAACAGTGATAGTGTAATTTACAAGGGAGAATTTAAGTTCTTTAATAATTCATCCATTGTCTAAGAGTTTTGTACTCCTGTGGAATAAATGAACAGCAGTTTTAGGGCTAACTGGTAATAATGAGTCATTGAAACACCTGTTCCTCTTTCTTCTAGCTTCTTCTCTTGACAGCCTTGCAGCTAACGTAAAGGTAATTTTAGAAGTAGAATTTATAAAATGATTTATTTCCAGCTATCTTATGTCAATTATTGTGCTTTCTCCAATCAGCGGTGGAAAGTATTATTTCTAGCTAGTGCTACTTAGGTGGAATTGTTACAGATTAACTAGCGTTTATGTAAAGAGGTGCCCAGGCTCCACTGCATACTTTGCTTTGGGGTTTGTTGCTTGTGCCCCTCATGTGAGCTCTTTTCATTTGTAGGATGAATCACCAAGGGGAGTGTATCTAGGCCCAATAACTATCGGTAGTGATTTTCGTTGCTTTTTCTCTAATCGAATACCTTTATACATAGAGGTGGTAAATCACTCGTTCTCGAAGTTTAATTGGTTTGTCAAAGTGAAGGCTCAAACTTCTAGGTTACAACATGAGAATAGATGCATGAAAAGAAAATTGAGTATACTAGGCTTCTTATGCTGTAGCATTTAAAGATTTTGTTTAAAGATTGTATTTTTCCTAGACCCAATAATCCCTAGTTCTCAGAAATCAAAGTTCACAGCATGAGTTTATTTTGGCTTGTTAATACATACCAAACATACAGACTTTTGGTTCCTTCAAGGTTCCTGACCTTGACTCCTGAGCATTTTGCCACTGATCTTTTCTACTCCACCTCCCCTTTTAATTGCAGGGGGTCCCTGGGACAGATAGTCTATCATCTTACCCCCAGTTTTTTTCCTTGTTCTACCCCACCCCCAGCTCTAAATATAGCAAACAAACAAAAAACTACAGCTAAAGAATAATACACGTTGTCACCCAGGTTATCAAAGAGCCAGATGAACGGATTGTTTTAAGGAATGAGTCACCATCACCTTTAGATTCAAGTAAGTTTGGAAAGCCCTCGCCCAGAAACCAAGGGGATGCCGATTTCCACTGGGAAACTTCATTTGCCACCTCCCAGCATTCCAGCTCTCCCAGCCCTCTGGATCAGCCCCTTCTACGAGAAAGGTCAGTGGCAAATACCCATCTCTTTGCTTGAACAGTGCATTGTGGCCTGGCTGAAGTAAAGCCAGGTCATTTATTTCTTCAGTTTGCTTTCTTAGGGATATTCAGCTAGTGACCCATTTTTTGTTTTTGTTTTTTTTTGTTTTGTTTGGTTTTAGTGACAGGGTCTCACTCTGTCACCCAGGCTGGAGGGCAGTGTTGTCACCATAGCTCACTGCAGCCTCAAACTCCTGGGCCCAAGCGACCCTCCCGCCTCAGCCTCCCAAGTAGCTGGGACTACAGGTGTGTGCCATGACACCTGGCTAATTTTTCTTATTTTTTTTTTTAAGACTAGTCAAGTGCAGTAGTGAGGAGGGGGGTTAAGTAGTAGAACAAGGAGTTCAATCTGTAACTGACTGTGAACAATCAGGTGAGATAACTCACTACCTTTGGACCAGCCCTTTTTTGTAGAGATGGGGTTTCACTAGTTGCTCAGGCTGGTTTTGAACTCCTGGCCTCAAGTGATCCTCTTGCCTGAGTCTCCCAAAGTGCTGGGATTACAGGTATGAGCTGCTGTACCTGGCCTGGTGACACCTTGATATGAAAAAATGATTATTCTTTTTAAGATCTACCCAAAAGCAGAGTTGAGCCTTTTGTCTTGCTTCTGGAAAACATATCTCAGGATGTTTGTTGTAAATGAGATAGACAACTTTGGCGTGGGTACTGTTTACCCATTTTTTGTGTCACAAATTTAAAAACTAAAGCTTTTGATTTCACCAATATAAATGTGTTCACTATAGAAAGTTTGGAAATTACAGAAAAACAAAAAGGAGTGGAAAAAAAATCACCCATAGTCCTGCCACCCAAAGATAAATATTATTAACATGTAGGTTTATTTTCTTTTTCTAGACATGGTTTCTTGTTTGTTTACATTATTGTCACAAATAATAAAAATACATCTGCATCTGTCTGGAGGGCAAGCCAGAGAGTGAGAACAGGAATCTTTCTTTGCCAAATTGTACTCTCTAATTCGTAACCATTCAGTTTACCTGGGTTTTCCCAGTTTTAACTTAATGCAGTTTAAGTCCTGCATTCTGGGAAACAGCTCTGAGTCTCAGGCAAGCTAGGACAATTGGTAACCTTAACTCCAGGAAAGTGGCACTGAAAATAATATATTTAAGACAGCTGTTTTGAATGAAGGATATACTAATCTGCTTTTTTCTGTGTTATTTGTGATGAGAATAGGAAATTTCCATACCAGAATAACATAATTGCTCACAAAGGGACTCATAGTAAATATATCCTCGAACCAAAGTGGCCCTAAAGGTTTAACAGGAATTATATAGTAAGTTTGAAGTAGACTAAGAAAATAGCAACCCACTCTTAGTGTTTTTCAGAAATGATAGAATAACTCTATATTCCAATGTTAAATCATGTATTTGAGGAAGCCAAATCAAATATTTTAATAAAATCTATTACTATATGGTGAGATTTTGATTAGATATTGATTACTTGATTGGAAGAAAATAATACAACATAGGTGGCAGTTGTCTTTGGCACACAGAGACAGGTGGTCAGACACAGTTACACTCCTCTCTCTGCTTGGTCTCCGTTCCCTCCTGGCTTATGCTCTCGCCACCAGCCTGGAACACAGCAGGTTGGCAAAGCAGGGGAGGTTATCTGGGATTCAGAGACTTACAGAGAATTGATTTTAAACAGAGAGTAGGAAGAGCCTTCATCTAGGGGTGGTCAGGAAACTTGGGCTCTAGTATCCATCTGTCTCTAAGTGATATGTGATCTCACACAAATACTTGACCTTTCAGACCTCAGTTTCCTCATCTTTGAAATGGTTGTGATGATCAAAGATCCATCTTGTTACAGCTACAAAGTGCTTCTCTGCTGCCAGAAGTGGGGAAAGCCTATGGCTTTTGTCCATGTGCTTTGTTCATATACATTTCCCAAACTCCCTATAATCAGTACAATAAGCTTTCTGCGAGACTGAATTGTGTCAGCAGCTATTGGGCGATTACTATGTGCAATGTCCATGATCATGGCATATCTCTTCCTTTCAGTGGCTCACACACTAGATGGGAAGGCAGGCATACCCCCATGTCAGTAAATATGCGATAGATTGCAGTATGTACTTAACAGATGTATTATGCAAACGCGGGGGAAAGAGTCAGCAGTAGGAGATTAATTCCATCAGGAGGGAGATCTGGGAAGGCCTCATTTCTCTTTAAATACATTCGTTAGATGGTTTATGCATTCATTCAGCCAGTCTTTCCCGAGCGTCTTTATGCAGCACTCAGTGATTCTCAACTCTGGCCAATGTAAGAATTGCCTCCTTTTTACTGAGTCAAGATCTATTGGGATGGAATCAAGTGTGTTTGTGGGAGAATGTAGAATCTTTTTAGTTAAAAGAGTGTGTCAGAAGGAAAACAGGATTCATACTCAGTCTGCTAGACATGGAATGGAAACACTAACATTGAAGACATTTTTCCTGATCTCTGAAAACTTGCAACCTACCAGAGGATGTAAAAGGAAAGAAAGTACACAAACAAGGCAGAACTTTGTGAATAGTGCAGACCAAACGCTACTGGAGTATAAAGAAGGAGGATGCCACTTCTAGAATGTTTTATGGAGGAGGTGCCCTTTACTTGTGGGCCCTGAGAGGAGGGGATTGGTACATGATAGAGTTAATGGGGGTTTAGGATGGGAGGTGAGAGGCAGGGCCCTGTAGGCCTCTAGCAGTTAGACAAGTTTGGGAGAATAGTGGGTTCCAGGTCTCAAGGGTCTGAAGAGGACATGGAAGCCAAGCTAAGGAATTTGGGCTTTGCTTGGAAGGCCTTGGGGAGCTATGCAACTTAGTCACAGGAGTTGGCACAAGTGACTTTAGGAAGACAGGTCTGACTGCAGGCGAGAGTTTTATCAGCCATCTCTGATGAGGCAGCAAATTCCATGTGCTCAGTGTCACTCTAACTGATAACTTTGGACCTAATTGAACTATGAGTTTGTAAATAAGGCTGTGATCAACAGTGACTCAGAAAGACACAGCCACAGGAAGGACATCCAGTTTGCCCGTGGCTATCCTGGTTTTAGTCCCCAAAGTCCTGCATCCTGGGAAACCCTTGAGTTCTGGGCAAACTAAGACAGTTGGTCTTCTCAACGCCAGAGAGGTGGCCCCTAAGACAGTATTTTTAAGACGGCAGTTTTGAATGAAGGACATGTGCTTCATGTCTGTGGGGAGGAATCCATTCCCTGTTGACTTTAGAGCAATCACAAAAGCACTCCTGGACACTGAGGGCTACCAGCACTTTGTCCGGCAACTCACTGTTCTTTTCACATCAGGGCCATCAGGTCCAGTTTCTGTGCCCAGATCACAAGGGTGCATGAAAAACACCTTTTGAGTTTCTCCTTCCTCGTACTGAAGTTGGTAAGGGGATGAGCTGGGAGACAAATTTTAGAGTGAGAGTCAGCCCAATGTTTTGCTAGAAGAAGTCGAAGTCCCTTTAACTATCAGGGTGAAAACGGTAGTCCCAGAGGAGGAAGGAACACTCTCAGGCCTGTTCCCTGTGTCCACCATCTGGATGATGTCACTTCCCTTCAACACACATCCTCCCTCCTCCCACTGCATGAGGAGAAGGTGGGTCCCATGGAGAAAGCTGTAACAAAGGCATAGCACTGCTCCTATCTGTTTATCCATCATCTGCAAAGATCTTCACATGTAGAATAGATTGATGTGACGGCAATGGTGGCAGATGTTGGAATCACTTTGGTACTATTAATAGTTACTCAAGACCTACGAAAAAGCATTTACCATGTCCAGCTAGTGGCTATTTTTAAATGCTATCTTTATTCATAGCTTCAAAATATTTCTATTCCTTCCTCTTAAAAATTCTTTAGGAAGTATAGAAATGATGTACGTGGACTTTTCTTAAACATGCGTCAGTGCTTTAGGTGGTACTTTTATTTGCTCCAGCTCTTTTCCTGGGTTGGTAATGGATTTGTAGAGATCCATTCATACTCTTGGTCATGTCTCTCTGGAAACCTGTGGGACATACCTGTCACAGAGAGAGCTGGATGAGAGACCTGGACATGGGCCGGAACCAAGCAGAAGGGCAACCACACGGGAGTCATTTGTGTGGTGGCCACAGAAGCAACTGGATTTCCACATATTCTGTCATTTCCAGTCTTTATAATACGTTAACTCAAGAGAATAATTTTATCCAAATAGCTAAAATTTATTAGGTGTTTTTAGAAAACAGTATCTGTGCTTTCCATTATCAAATTGCTATGTATACTTTTAGCATTCCCCCCCCACCCTGGAATTCTAAAATCTTTCCTGATATATACTTTTAGCTTGGTTAGACCTCAGACTTTAGGATTCAGTGTCCATCTCCCTCCCAGATATGAATGAATAAATGAATTCAATCATTGAAGAAATATCTATTAAATACTTACTATGGTGTTCAATATCTACTATGCCCTGGAATGAGCTATTAATCAAAGAGACTCAGTCCCAATTTCAGTCGAGGAATAAAGACAGACATTAACCAAATGATGACAGAATGTCCACTGGCAGAAGTGGTATGAACGAGGCATAGGTGAATGAAACTTGAAGTGTGTATAATGGGGAAGCTGATCTCCTTTATAGGAAGGGCTCAAGAAGTACTCTCCTGAAGAGTTAGCAATTGGACTGAGCTCTGAAAGATGGGTGGGAGTTAATAAGAGTAGGGATGGGGGTTGGAAGGTGAAGACGGAGCAGCATTGGCAAAGTCTATGAAAGGGAGAGAATGCTCCATGCTTGAGGAATTGAAAGAGACTATCAGACCCGTGGCTAAATTTGGAGTCTGGGTGGCCTAAAGTAAGCAAGATATAAAATAAAATCCTTGTGGTAGAAAACAACTGGGATTAAATTTTATATTAAAATATTTTGAATTAAATTTTTAAATGTAAAGGTAGTATTTGCTTATGAGAGAAATATCTGAAAATCCCAGGAAGATACAAAGAAAAGACTCACTCACAGCCACACCCGCACACAAACCGTTCTTAACATCTTGGTGGTTTTTATTCGCCAGTGATTTTCCTGTGCATAGGTTTAATAAAGGCATTGAAATAACACTATGTATACCATTTTGCATGTTGCTGTTTTTTTCTTATGATTACATTTTAATATCCATCCATACTGTTATGTATTTTATGTAAGTGTTCTTTTTAGTAGCTGCATAATACTCCACCCCATTTAATCTGTTGAGCAGGTCCCATCCTAGTTTTGCATCCACGTGGAAGAAGATCCATGAAAGGGTACGCAGTCTCCTGACATCCCACAGAGCTCAGCAGCACCTAAGCAAGGTTAGGGTTTCTGATAACGCTGGATCTTCACTGACAAAATATCATGGGAACTTACAGTCTAGTGAGGGAGACAGACGTTAATCAAGTAAGCACAGAAGTAAATGTAAAGTTGTGATGCTTGCCAAGGAGAGTACCTGGTGTCCTGAGAGTGTGTGATGGAGGGTATTTGACTTGGCTGGGAGTTAGGGCAGGCTCCCTGAGGAAGAGACAGTAGAGCTTAGATCTGAGAGACGAGTAGCAGCTAATTTGGGGCACAGCATTCATCAAGTGGAGGTCTCATGGTGGGTGTGGGGAGTGTTTCTGATCCATTGGTAGATATACCCAGTCCTTTGTGTCTGCTGCAGGTATACAGCCAAGAGACTTTTCACCATTTCAGAAGAATTCAAATGAGAGGTTAACAGTGCCCCCGGTGGCTGAATTTAGCCATGACGTATGGTTGAATTAGTCATCTTGACTTATTTATTTATTTATTTTTAGAGCTGAAGTCTTGTTCTGTTGCCCAGGCTGGAGTGCAGTGGTGCACTCAAACTCCTGGGCTCAAGTGATCCTTCCACCTCAGCCTCCTGGGTAGCTGGGACTACAGGCGTGTGTCATGATGCCTGGCTAATTTTTCTATTTTTTATAGAGACAGGGTCTTGCTCTTGCCCAGGCTGGTCTTGAACTCCTGGCGTTAAGCAGTCCTCCCGCCTCAGCCTCACAGAGTGCTGGGATTACAGGTGTGAGCTACCATGCCTGGCCTAGCACCTTGACTTGTTAAATACTGGCATATGCTAGATTTATAGAATGACATTTATAAATGAATATTGATTACCCTAACTGCGGGGGCAGCGGATTACTTTACTTCCTTTCTGCAAAGTCCTTGGCTTTGCTTTAATTCCCAATCATTTCAAGTAAGGAATCCCTTTTAAAAAATAAGAAGAAGAAAAGAAAGAAAGAAAGAAAAAAATCTATATATACATATACATAGTGAACTCCATGCATGGCATAGATGGGAGGCGCAGACCTCTTAGATACCAAACCACACATCTGGGTATCATTGATCTCTTTTACATTATGGTTAATGCAATTTCTGGATTTGTTTTTGTTATAGGAAGATTCAACCTCTGAAGTAAATTATATCCGTGAAAAACCAGGCTACCCTCTGAAGAAATACCCACTGCATGAACAGAGATATTTTTAAGCTGCTGTCTTTTGTAAGTAAGCGGCTTAAGTGCCTCTTCTTATCTTGATTTGCTAAAAGAATTTCAGCTTCCTGAGATCAATATGAACTAGAAAGTGTGATGGCCAGGAGACGTGGAGGGGGCCCAAGAACCACGCGCCTCTTCCGTTCAGTATGATAGTGACAGTGCGCGTGTCTGCCAGCTGTCTCGCCTCCTTTTCTACTCCCCACCCGCCCCACCTCACTCTTTATCTAAGGGACCCTCTAGCCTCCTTTCACCTCCTTGAACACAAGCTCTTTCCTATCTTGGGGCCTTTGCACATGTCGTATTCTTCGTCTGGAATATTTCTTCCGGACGCTGAGTGGGTAACTTCTGTCTGTCTCCTTCAGGTCTCATGACTTCCCGTGACATTCCTTGCCCCTCTGACATATGTCCTTTAGCACCCTTCACTTTTCTTTCAGAAAGTATGACACAATTTATTATTACGCTTTTTAGTTGGGTTGATTGTTTAAAATCTGTCTCTTCTACTAGAATGGAACCTGCATGAGATCAGGGACTCTGTCTTGCTCACTCCTTCATATGCAGCACTTAGCGTGCTACAGTAGGAATCTCACTTAACTTTTCAAACACACACACTGGGCGTGTGTCCTGAACAAGAATCTGCCTCCCCACCCCCACCCTGCTGCTGTCCCTGCATCACTGACTCTCCACCAAGGTTGCTGCTCGGTAAATAGTTTTTGTACGTGAATGTTGAATGAGGTAGGAAATGAGGCAACTCCAGAATTCAGACATGTGGCAAGTAGTTGGCCATACTGTGAGGTGTCATCATTTCTTAGTATTCTCTTCTTTTTCTTTTCTAACCCAGGCCCAGAATGATAATAGTTCTTCCTCATTACATGATTCCTAAGTGCCAAGAACTGGTTCAAATACTTCATATGTGTTAAATGAGATAATATTTAATTCTCAGAACAGCTCTATGAGATAGGTACTATCATTAGTTCCATTTTACAGATAGGAAAACTGAGGCACAGAGCATTTAGGGACCTTAAAGTGGCATGGTTAGTGAATGGCAGGAATGTTAAGGAGAGCCCTTTGGAACCCAAGCAGAGTTTCAGCTCTGCCCCTGGATGTGTCCCACTAGGATCTAATATGTCATACTTGTATAGTCCTCATGCCAGCAGCATCAAAATAATTACGAGTGTTTTTAAACAATAAAGGAGGTGGGATGACCTGCTAGGTTTTCACTGTAGTCAGGCTCCTGAAAGTCTGGTTTGAGGCCATTCATGCCTTAGGGCACAAGTCGCCTTGTCCCAGGGCTGGCCAGGGCTCCCCGCCCTCGCACAGAGGCATGTGGAGGAAGCTTAGTAATTGCCCATTCTGTAGGCTTCAACCTTGGGACGTTCTGCTTGGTAGATTAAAGAATGGATTCTGGGCCACTCAATCTCTGGTTGCCAAAACAGTCATCTAGGCATTTATTAGGTGGTTATATAGAACACAGCCCATGCAATTACCAAGTGCCAAATTGCACTGAATTTCAACTTGGGTAATATCAAGTTACATAAAGCCCCAAACCAGCTAATATGTGGACACTAATGTGAGGGGGCAGAGAGAAGGTAAGAAAAAAAAGTGTAAATTCTGTCTTGGAAAATAGGTTTCCTATATAACAGGTGTTCCCACTCAGTGGTTTGGACTATGCACATAGTTCTTCCCTGGTATCTCTCCATACCATCTTCCCCTAACCCCACTGCTTGAATCCTGGATTCCTGACAAGGCGGGGATCCTCGAGTGCTGTGTTAGTGGAGGCTCTCATGGTTATAAGAAGCCCAGCTGACTCTGGGTAGTCTTAAGCAAAAAGGGCAGAAATGAGTAGAAGGGGTTGGAATGCATCTACTTCTTATTCTGGATGTTTTGGGACTTGGTACTTTTGGTATAAAACAGAGTATTCCTTGTACACTTTAAAATGGTGATTTTGCCGCAAAAAACCAAACACCTAAAACAGAACACACCGCCCCTCCCCAAACCAGAAAAACCCATCCGATTCTCAGTGCTCTTGGAAGGCATGATTGCCACTACCTCTTGGCCCTTACCAGGTGTGTGAGCTGACTGCCTGTGTCTGAAACACGCACACCGAGAGTCGCTTTCAAGGCTGGGCTTAAAGACCCCTCTGTGAAATCTCTGGTCCCTCGGGCAGAGTCAGGCCTCTGCCTTCTGTGACTAGACTGCACCAGCTCCGGCCCACTGAGTTCTCCATCCTGTGAGCATCTCCCTGGGATCCCAGACTCCACCAAGCCTGGCCTTCAGTGAGAGCTGGTCCCCTTGTAATGCTCCCCACTGGAGGGCCAGCATGGAACTCAGGCCCAGATTTCCTCAGACCCAGAAAAGAACTGTAGCTCCAACCATTTCTAAAATTAAAGAACAGCTAAAAGGAAATAAACCAAGGAAAGAAAAAAATAAAGGACAAAAGTTAATTGAAGTGCTGGTTTCTGGTCCAGCATGGCTCGGTAGGTGTCCAGCTCCTACGACAATGGCTGGCATGGCTCCTAGCCTCACCTGTCTTCACTGGCAGGAGCCATTTCACTTCCTCTCACAGGGGCCCCTTCACCTCTACTACAACCAAAGCCAAAAGCAAACCAGCCTACAGATTCCAAGCCCCACCATTCAGTGCCCGACCTCTCTGATTGGTCACCAGCTTCTGAGGGATTTGTCATGAGGTGGCTTGTGGGGACTGACGTGATGGCAAGGATGCACCTCCTTTCATCCCAGGAGCTCCAACAGACCACACGTGCAGTGACCGTGCACCCACATCACAAGGCACGACCCTGGGTCAGCAGTCCTCAATAAGCATTAGAGTCATCTGGGGAGCTTTGAAAAATACTAATGCCAGGCCCCACTCCAGGCCAATTTAATTGCAGTCTCTACAGCTGGTGCCCAGCACTGGTATTTTTATAAAAGTTCTTCATGAGATTCTGACACACATGTAGGATTGAGAATCTCTGCAGTAGGCTGAACACCCCCCCATCCCCATACTGACCTTTTGTGTGCTCAGAAATAACTGTTCTATAGAATACAGTTGATTGGAACATGTTTAACAGTTCAACTTGATACCACCTAGCAGTTTTTGGCACATTTACTGCATACCCAAGGACTGTACGAACTCCTCACAATAATACTAGGAAATAAATACTCTGAGTACCATGGTCCCCATATTATACAAAGAGGTAACGTGCCCAAGGTCACACAGGTGCTCACTGCCTTATTCTGACCTGGGAATCCAGGGGAAAGGGATAGAGACCAGGTGATCCCCAGGGAGAACTACAGGCCAAAGTCAGGGTAGAATGAAATCATTTTTTTCTCCTTGGTTGTGTTGATTGTTCGCCTTTCTCTGAGCACCACCTGCGGTATGTCATGTTTCCAATTCTGCAGGGGAACATGAATGGAAGCCAGAGGAGGAGGAGGATGAAGAGCTCTCTCATCCAGACAACTGACACATCCTTAGAGAAGTGAGCAACAATTTTTGTTGTCTGTATCAAGTCACCAGTATATAATCCCCTTTAAATCAAACCCTATACTCAGTCTCTTGTGCCTACCCAGGTAAGAGATGTTGATTAAAGTGTTTGCTGTTTGGGGCTCACATTTTCTTGTCACACTGGAAAATGTGTATTTTAGTTTGTGTGTTTGTTTTGAACATGATATAGAAAATCACAACAGTTGGCTGGCAGGTGCTTTTCTATTTGGAAGGCACTCTTTAGAATTCTAACTAAAATGTCAAGATGTCGTTTCAGGTGTTCTTCATTTTTTGCAGTGGATGTGTTCTTGAAAGATTCTTTTTTCCTCTTTTTCTGCTTTCCCTTCTTCCTATCCCTTCCTCCCTCCCTCTCTCTCTTTTTCCCTCTCTCTCTCTCTCATTCACTCACTCAACTTAAATTCTATACAAACTAGAGGAAGTTGCTATTTAGAGGAATAACCTGATAAATCCTCCAGGAAAGACTGTCAACCTGACTTTCTCTTTTTGATAAATTTGTTGTTTGTTTGTTTTTAGTGATTTATATGTAATCCACTGAAAACCTAGGAAAAGAGAGCATTACATCTGGAGAATTCAGATCTTGTTTTAAAGGTTGAATTTTTATGGTAAATTTGTAAGAGGGGGACAGTTTCGTTGGACTGTTCTGTAAACTATTCCTTCTGTTCACTACCCCAGCTTTTCCCCGAGTAATTCTTAATAAATTTGTCAGGAGCAAAACCTTCCTCAAATATTTCTCTAAAAGAACTACTTTAAGTAAGTAGGTTCTATAGATATGACTGGAAAAACTAGATGTTAAATTAGTAGGGTGCCTTATGAAGTGTTTACACAGATTGAGGGAGCAGGAAGAGAAAGGGGATGGGATGAAGGGGGACTAGAGTCACATTTGTGACTTTGTCAGCACAGATCCAGAGAAGACGGGGCCTAAAAATGGACACGTTCATCCTTCCTTCATGCTATAACCTTAGCATTTCCCTCTACCATACCTGCTATGGTCTGAGTGTACCTTCAAAATTTATATGTTGAAATCCTAACCCCAAGGTGGTGGTATTAGGAGGTGGGGTCTTTGGGGAGGTGATTAGGTCATGAGGGTGGACCCCTCGTGCATGGGATTAGTGCCCTTATAAAAGGGACTCCGGAGAGCCCTTCCACCATGTGAGGACACAGCAAAAAGACAGGTGTATATGAACCAGGAAGCAAGCCCTCTCCACACACCGAATCTACTGGCACCTTGATCTTGGACTTCCCAGTGTCCAGGACTGTGAGAAATAAATTTCTGTTCCTTCGAAATTACCCAGTCTAAGATATTTTGTTATAGCAACTTGAATGGACTAAGACAATACCCCAAACATTTTTAGTTTTTACAAGATTCAGTGAGAGCTAGGTTTTCCTTTTTTCATTATAATCATAGGAATTGGTTCATTAGGTAAATTAGGAAAACAAAACTGAAAATTAAAGCAGAAGAGAAGCTCTGAAAACAAAACTCATCTATCCTCTTCTCAGAATTTCAGCCAAATAAATGTATATACAGGTTGAACATGACTAACCTGAAAATCCAAAATCCAAAATGCTCCAAAACCCAAAACTTTTTGAGCACCAACATGTTGCCACAGTGGGAAATTTCACACTGTGGAATTACAGAATGGCCAGTGACCCCCTGCGCTGGGTCTCAGTCAAAACACAGTCAAATGTACACAATTATTTTTATTTTATGTTATCTTTTATTTAATTTTTTTAGAGATAGGGTCTTGCTCTGTCACCCACACTGGAGTGCAGGAATGTGATTGTAGATCACAGCAACTGCAAACTCCTGGGCTCAAGCAATCCTCTTGCCTCAGCCTCCTGAGTAGCTGGGACTACAGGTGTGCACCGCCATGCCTAGCTGATGATGCAAGAAATTATTAAAAATATTGTATAGAATTACCTTCAGGCTATGTGTGTGAAGTGTATATGAAACATAAATGATTTTGTGTTTAGACTTTGGTCCTCTCCCCAAGATATCTCATTATATACATGCAAATATTCTAAAATCCAAAAAATCCCAAAACACTTCTGGTCCCAAGCATTTCAGATAAAGTCTACTCAACCTGTATTACAACGAGCATTCCACCTTTGGAAGGCACACAGCAAGCTTAAATTACGTGTGCTTGTATGTTCTCAGTGTCTTTGAAATTATAGTTGTCAATTTCTTATTTTGATGTCACTTCTAAGTAGTCATTAAAAATTAGAAAATACTGTGTTACATTAATATTATGGTACAATTCTTAGAGGAGGGCCACTTACATAAGCAACTGAAGGAAATCAGCCCTAATGAATTGATATCTCATTTCAGTTATTGTTAAAATATATACTGTGACATTCAATGTTCAGGTTTTTTTAAAATGGTTTGATCATAACTCCTTAATTTAATTTAATAATATCTTAAATGCCCATTCTTATTTAAAGTCATTTTTGTTTTCCTCACTAAATTATGATTTTTTTCCTTCACTTTCTGATCTGCTCTTTTGTTTAAATTATTTCTATTTTAACTTTTTATTTCTTAAGGAATTATTTCAGTGTGGAGAAGTCCTACTGGGGCCAGGGCTGCAGTTGAGGTATTTTGCTGTTGGAGTATATAGTATTAATAGCATGAATAATTTTGTGATGTATTGGGTTTGGATTACTTTGGGAGGCTCTGTGTCATTAAACATCATAAAAAAGAGTTCCTACCTGTCTTGCTTCCATGTATAATTCATTTCTTGATTTTCACAGTTTCAGATCTGTCAAAGCTTGGACCGTGTTTTATGAGCATGTTTCATAGGGTCTTGGTTTAGAAAGGCTCCTGGGAAAATTCTCTTTGTGGGACATGGGCCCTCTCAACGAAAACTGCTGTACAGTGAGGCCATTTCTTTATGATCACCAGACTGACTCAAAGTTAGCTGAAGCCTGTAAGCCCTGAATTATAAAAGAGATTTAAAAAAATGGGAGTGTGAATGGTATGTTTGACATAGATGACGTGGTTGGTTTTAGGTGTATAATTTGAGGAGATTGATGGGTATGTGTGTAAGTTCAGCCTAGCCCCTGAATGCCTGGCCATTCTCAATATAGCCATGACTCCACTCAATTAGTTGCATTAAAGGAGCCCTCTGGCCTCTCCGAAGGGCAGTCTGAGGAACAGGACATGCCCTCTAGTGCATGCTGTGACCAACGAATCTGCTAGCGCTGCCAGATGAGACTGCTGTCCTTCTCTGATTAGGGGACCCAGCCCAGCACTACCTGGGGGCCTGCAGGTCTTGGAGAGACCCCCCCCACCCCCTTTCTTCTCTTGTACTGGGAAACCTGTGAACGGTGATAAGAGCTGCAATCCTCTGTGCCCTTGGACTGGAACGCTTCCATCCTCCACACTGGGTTTAGGGCCACCAAATTTTATGGCAAAGTTACTTTATCAGAGGAAATAACCTAGCTTAGTTTCACCTTCATAACTAGGGAATTTGGCCAAAACACAGTCATATCCAGTACAGGACCTCTTCCTGAAGGATAGATTAACAAGAGCTTCTTCAGCAGAGTGACGTGTTCCCAGTCCAAAATTTTCTCTTCAGGATTCTGTATTGTTGCTCCATAAATTAATATTACTATACTAGAGACAGAAATGGTCTCAGGAGTTTTTCAGGGCTCTGCCCTGAAAGAATATGTGCACGTGTTAGTTTGCATATCAAAAGCTGCTCCACCTCAGGAGGGCATCTCAAAAGGTCAGTAGCAGCTGCTTTCCAAGGTGACTGCTGTGGTCTCAACCCCGTGGTTCTCACCTGCTTTGAAGGACAAAGCAAAGTCTACATGGAATCAAGGGATGAGAGCTGAGCAAAGAATGTCCGCCCGAGAGACAGATACCTGCGCTAAAAACAATTAGCCCAAGGGACAGTTCCTGTTTGACTTCTGATGACCTGTCTCTATCTGCAATAACTAGATAAAGAAATATGGAGCCAGTGTATCTCTGTTTAACCCTTCTGTTAAGTACTAGCTTTATCTTAGGACTTAGAAGTTTGTCCTTGAAAGATTTTTGTAACCAGACTTAGTTAAGGGAGCTATAGTAGCCTTTTGAAAGACTTTTAACCCAAAACGAACTACCCGTTATTATGTAAATCTGTTACCCCTGGCAACCGATCTCTGTACCTATAAATACCCATGTAAAACTTCACTCGTGGCCTTATGATTCACGGGGATATCGTAGGGACCTCTGAGTATCCTGCTTTTGCCTTTTATCTTTATAAATCTATAAACCTATACCTTCATCTCTGTGTATTCTTTTATTTCTATTATTTTTCATTTTCTATTATTTTCTTATCCTTTGCGACAACCCCTACCTAAGGGACCCGATTTTTTGCTGGGAGTGTAGCTAACTCCCTGCACTGTATCTTTTAGAGGGATCCACTAGCACCACTGTAAGTATAGATATGCTTTTGTTTTCTTATCTTTAAAGTACCCTGTAGCCTATAGTATAATATAATATCAACCCTTCTCATTCACTGTAAGAATCACCTGCTGGAGCTCATTTGCTCTCTGTGGCTCTGTGGCGACCACACAGCTTTGCTTTGTCTCTGAGACCATGCCAGCCGATAGGACACACAGAATACAATATGTGTACAGCTGGGTTTGCTTTCTATGCATGTGCACATCACACGAGGGGTCGGGGGCTTATCTTCATCTGACACCAAGAACTCTGGGACAGCAGCACTGAGGGTGCCATGGCCTGCCCCAGAAATAGTGAAGGGGATTTGGGAGCTGCTAGGCCACCAGGATACCAGGATTAGGACTCTCAAATGAAGAGAGGGAAAGGAGCTCCCTAGCGAGTTGGAGACTTTGCTCTAAGGTAAGAGAGTTGAAATACACATGGTGGGCTTGTGGGCCTTTGGTTTGTCACTGGGGGATGCTTTTGAACTGCCAGGGTGTGTCACTGCATGTCTTCTAAGGCTGGGTGGGTGTGGTGGGTGATTTATCCTACATTCCTCCTTCCATAGTGGAGGCCAGGACAAGGGCGACTTTGGGGCTTGAGAGAGCTAAGTCTTTTACAGACCCCACCATCTATCTTTGGGGGACATAGAATGCC